ACCACTCTTTGGTATATACCCAAAGAATTGAAAATACATATTAACAGAAAAACTGTGCATAGCTATTCATCTAAGTATTATTCATAATAACAAAAAGATAGAAACACATCAGCCATGAAAAATGAAGTATTACATATTACAGCATTGATGGACCTTGAAAGCAATATGCAAAGTGAAAGCAGGAACTTTAGAAAAGGCTACTTATTGTATGATTCCCTTCATGTGAAATACTTAGAGAGAAATATGCACTTTAGTATATCAAATTTTATATCATATGTGTTGCAATTAGAAATGCTACCTACAGGCAGAGTTTAGTGGTGCATGTGTTTAATCCCAACACTGGAGAGGTAGAAGCAGGTGGCTCTCTGTGAATTCAAGGCCAGCCTGGTCTACATAGTGAGTTCCAGGCCAGCTGGGGCTATAGGGAGACCCTATTTGAAAAAGACTGAATAAAAAGCTACATATAAAGTAATGCTGGGTCTGTGTATATAAATATTTTACATTTTCAGCAGAATTTCCAAGTTGCCTCCATTGGAAAGGTTGATTTTCTATTCTCAAAAGCTATTTATGAAAGTACCTGTTTTCCTCATGTTCTTATGACTGTGCTAATGAGATAGCCAACACCTAAATCCACAGCTTTAGTCTTTCCAGTGTTGCTATTGAAAGATACTAACCTAGCCAAGTGTGGTGGTACTTGCCTGTATCATAGCATTACTGAAGCTGAGGCAGAAAGATTATAAGTTTAAAACCAACCTTACCTACATACTGAGAACAAAAAAAGAGCCTAATATGTTTCTTTCATTATGATCAAGATTAAATGTCTTTATCTATACTTAAATGCCATTTAATTTTTTAAGTTTAAATTTTGTATTTTATGTATATGAGTGTTTGCCTGAATATGAGTGCACCACGTGCATGTAATACCCACAGAAGCCAGAAGAGGGTGTCAAATCCTCTGGAACAGGAGTTACAGATGGTTTTTAGACTCCGTGTGGGTGCTAGAGACCAAACGTGGGTCCCCTCCAAGAGCAGCCATTGCTCTTAACCACTGATCACTCCAGCCTCTTAAATGCCATTTGTATTTCCTTAACTGTGGCCTTATTATTTATTGGTTTTGGTTTTTTTTTTTTCTACAACAGTTACTCTTTTTCTTGCTGATGTATAAGGCAGATTGGGGGGGGGGGCTTTTCTTGTTTTTAAAATTGATTGTGTGTGTGTGTGTGTGTTGATACATAGAGGACAACTTTCCAAAATCAGTTCTCTCTTTCCACCATGTGGATTCTGGGGATTGAACTCAGGTCATCAGGCTTGGCAGCAAGTGCCTTTACTTTTAAGCCATCTCACCAGCCCAGTCCTAGTTTTTGTTTTTTTTTTTTAATTTAAAAATAGATTTATTTTTACTGTGAATGTTGTCTTTAAAACCCAGTACTGACTGGGCATGGTAGTGCATACCTTTAGCCCAGCATTCTGGAGGCAGAGGCAAGCTGATCTCTGTAAGATTGAGGCCAGCCTGTGTATGCATAGCAAGTTTCAAAAGTTCCAAGCCAACTGGGGTTAGAAGGAGACCCTGTCTCAAAAAAAAGAAAAAAAAAAAATCCAAGAAAAGCCACCATATATTCTGTCTAGATACACTGACTGATGTCATTCATGAGAATTGTTAAGTTTCTCAACACTTATCATTACAGTCCATTCTGAACTATGTCTGTAGCATATCTATTTAAATATGTCTTGTAGCAGAATGTTTTATTTTGAAGGAGAACTATACAAGGAAATCGAGCTTTGAGTAGATTAAGTGATCTCACATTTTGATTTTAGCTAATCATTAAAGTAAATGTAGCTTATACTTTTCCTAAAAAAATGTGAAGGAACAAAAATCACTAGATTTATAGAATAGATGGGTGAGAAGATAGATAAATAAGTGGATAGATAGGATCAGCAAATATTAAGTAACAGGTAAAAATCAGCTAGTTATTGGAAACAATGGATACTTACCACCCCTCAGTTGTTGAGTCATTCAACAGGTCTAGACAGCCTTTTAATAAATAAGTTTGTGCATAGTATATGCTAAGTCCTTGATTAGGTGTTGGCTATCCTGTGTTGACTGAAACAGATTTTCACACTGATCTCATAGGACCTTTGTAATCAAGTGAAAGAGACAGGCCAAAATAGCAAATAAACATACTGTAATTGAAAAAAATAGAAAGGAATAGAATATTCTATGCTGATTTATAGAAAATAATTTAGTAGCTAGAAACTATGTGACATGCTTTTGATAGTCTTTTTTGAAGGCCTTTCTGGGGAGAAAGTATTTTAAGTTACTTTGGAGTGGGGAGCCAGCTAAAGGAAAGCTAGAGCAGTACTTGAAATTGGTGATCTAAAGGTGCATTCAAGAGATAGAAAGGAAGCCACTGTTACTAAATAGGACTTTGAGGTGGAAGAGGTAAAATGAGATTATTCAAGACATAATAATGACTTTGTACCCTGTACTGAGAAAATTATTAAGTATAGAACAAAGGAGTATCAATTATTATATCAAGCATGTTTGTATTTTAAAAGACTACTTAGCTTCTGGATGGAGGATGGGGGCGAGAGATGATCAGAAAAGAAATTAGAGCATAATTAAACTGTGGCCAGAACCTAGACCAGAAATATAAGGATGGTGGCAGAGCAGATGGAGAAAAACTGATAAATTATAATTATGGCTTAAAGGTAGAATTAACTGGATTTGATGTGTTAGATATTATAGCTAATGGACAGGAAAGATCTGTGGATGGCTTCTAGCTCAGTGGTAGAGCACTTGCCTACCATGCACAGGTCTCAAATTCAGATATCGGCACTGCCAGAGGGTGAGGGAATCAAATATGGGTGGTGGGAGTTAGATGTCTAAATAATGATACATTACTTATATCTCTGCGGTACTTTGGAAATGGTACCACATTTAATATCTCATTTTGGATTCCTCAACTTTTCAAAAGAGAAACATATTGGAAGTTAAAATATTTTCTGAATTTAGTTGTAATTTCTTGGAAATAAAACTTAACTGCTGTTTAGGGTAAGATACACACATATATATATATATATAAACTCCTTTACCAAACTAAATATTATCTTGAGGGTCTTTATTTTATAAAGAATAGGGTAGGAATTATAAGATTTCTCCTACAGTAAAATTTCAAATTCTGTGGTTAAAATTATGCCCAAATATGAATATAATGCCTAACATTTTATTTTGTGAAAAGTGAAGGTAATTTTTTTATTTGCAGATAAGGTCCAGTTATAGTTACAGAATTCACTTCAGATTACTGTGGTTGTTAAACATTTTTATTTTTGAAATAAAGATTATTCTACATTGTATTATTTGGCAGTCAAAATCTTACAAATACATTCAGTAACTAGTGGCATAATTTTGTTATTTGATATGAAACAATATTGCATCTAATTTGTTTCTCCTAAGCCTTTTCCAAAAATGCAATTTTTAAAATTTCTATTTTTAATTAAATTTTAATGATTTTCATACAATATAATTTGATGGTATTTAGGTCCTCTTCCCTATCTCCACCTCCCCTAATTGCCCCCTGCCCAATTTAATATACTGTATCATATATATGTAATAAGGCCTATAGAGTTTAATTTGTATCTCCAAATGTCCTTCAGTGTGAGTCCATCCACTGGAGCCTGGTTGACCTACCAAGAGTCCCATGCTTGAAAGAGACTGTCACTGCCCTTCCCAGCAGCCATCTGTTGCCACAGTTTCCTTATGTGGGGGTTGGGGCTTCTTACCTTCTTCCTCATGTCTATGCTGGAAATTTTTTTCTGGTTTGAGCTTTCATAGGACTTGTCCATGCTGTCACCATTGCTGAGAGTTCATATGAGTAACTGGCCAGCTGTCTGGACAATCATTTTCTTTGTTGTCATCCACCACCTCTGGCTCTTACAGTCTTTCTTCCCCATCTTCTGTAATGATCCCTGAGCTTTGAGAGGCAGAAGTTTGATACTGTTGTTCTAGTCAACACTAAGCATTTTGCAACCCCTTGTTCTCTGCACATTGGCCAGCTATGGGTTTCTGTGTTAATCACCATCTGTTGCGTAAGGAAACTTCTCTGGTGCATTCATCTATGAGTGCAACAATAAGTCATTAAGAGTCAATTTAATATAATAACTATTTAGTCAAAACTAGTATTAGGTTCTCCCCTATGTCCTGTGACCTGTCTAGCCTCAGGCCTAATATCAATGTCAGGTATGGGCTCCATCCTAAGAAGCAAACCTTAAATCCAATTTAAGAGTAGTGATTACTCCCATATTTGTGCCACTATCAAGTCAGTGGGCATATCTTGCCAAGCCAGTTGTTATTGTTGTTCACAGGATTCACAGCTGGGCAAGATTATGATTATTTCTTTCCTTTCAGAAAGTAGCATGTATAGCACCTTCCAGCACTATGAACTCTAGCCAGTATAGATGAACGCTTGATTGAAGTCAGTACCAGCTTGATTTCCTTGTTCTGTAGCTCATTAATCTTCTGTCTTCAGCAATAGGGTCTTATCATCTAGTTCTGGTGGGTAACCAAGGGCAGGAGCAATGACCAGTATTGTTTGAGGGTCTGTGGGACCTCTGGTCAACAGCTTATAGAGAAGTTCATTCCTGACATTGAGGGAATTTTTTTCCCACTAGCCAATGATATTTAGAAAGGGAAGTACCTGCCTATAGGATACTTTCAATCTGTCCTTATGATGTGTGTGTGTGTGTGTGTGTGTGTGTGTGTGTGTGTGTGTACTTTAAGAAGCTTCTACGTGGTAGGTTTCCATATGGCTTTTTCTAAAGACCCTTAATGTGACTTATCCCTCCCCATACTCTCTTCTGCCCTGTCCTCCCATTCCCCAACCCATTTAACCCTTCCTAGTCTAATCTTAGTGTGAATCTTCAAGTGGAACAGATTTGTAAGAACTGGTTTTTAGTTCCCCAGGGATAAAAAGAAATCTCTCTTCTTTATCTTTCAGAGGTGGCTGGATCCAAACAAACCAATAAGGAAGCAGCTAAAGAGTGAGCATACTATTAATGTTTTGAAAATATGCCTTATAAAGATAAAGAATTAATATAATCTGATTAATTAGAACTACTTTTATTCTAGGAGGATCTCCTTACAGTTTGAACTTTAGAGTCAAATTTTTTGTAAGTGACCCCAACAAATTACAAGAAGAATATACAAGGTGGGTCTATGGAACTATTTCTCTTGAAAACATTGTCAAAGCTCTAATGTGAAAATTTGAAATTAGGCAAAAGTAGGTGACTATTGTGGAACTTTGAACTCCTGAGCCAACCCACAGATTAATTTATACATGTTATAACTATTTCCTCTCCTTTTGGATGACTGGAAGAGCTCTCAGGAATTAAAACCTCAGATCACTCCCTTGAGCCACAAGCAGCCCCCTGAACCATAAAAATATTCATTTTTCTACTTATGAATGGTGTTTAGCCCTGCTGTGAATAAGTGAGGAAATCAGATGATACAGAATTGTATCTGAGGGATGGTGCATAGTGAGAATTTCCTGTATTATTTATTCCATGTAAAAGTATATTCTCTTATTTGTTTTTATTCCATGTAAAAGTATATTCTCTTATTTGTTTTTCTTATTGAGGATAGCATAGAATTTCATTTTTTGAATGTGGGTATTGACAGGTTCTTCTTGTAGTCCCCCTGGTCTGAAATTTGCTCTGCAGACTGGGCTAGCCTCTGTGCTGCACAGAGATCTGCCTGCCTCTGCCTCCTGAGTGCTGAGAGTAAATGCGATACCATACCTGATAAGAAGATAGAATTTCTAAGGTACATGTAATCGTCGTGTGGAGAGGAGTGCGTTAACTTTTAAATCCAAGAAAAATATACTGGACTTTATAAAGGATGCTGCAGGGAGTACAGTAGTGGGCTTCTATATGCCACTCTACTGCCCATTCTGAGTTATATTTGTACTTATCCAAGTACATAAGAATGATCCAGATGGATCATTTTGATAGTGTCCTTGAGAATTAGGTAAAATGTTCAGGGTGTAAATAAGAAGTAATGACAGTCATTATTACTGTAACCATAAGGTCAGTTAAGCTTATGCATTGTTTGAAAGACATAGTCATTTAAATAAAAAGACAGAATAAAGAATTAGAATACCATACCTCCTACACCGTTCTCAAATATAAGACTAGAAACCAGTGAGTATACTCAGAATCACTCCAATGTTGTGTTGGAGTGGGGCAGCAGAAGGATAAAGCTAATTAGTTCACAGTGCTGTTCCTTGGGTAGGTATCTGTAGTTTTCAATATAAAACCAAATTAAAAAAAAAATAAATGGAGTCATGTGTGGTGTCTCTTGCCTTTAATCCCAGCACTTGGGAGGCAGAAGCAGGCAGATATCTGGGAGATCTAGGCTAACCTGGCCTACATAGGTAACCTGCGATATAGAGAGACTCTGTCTAAAAAACAAACAAAAACAAATTCTTAAGAGTCCTTTTCTTGTGCTGGAAAGGACTGGGTGTTACTTTTTAATAATGAGAAAATAGGAATATAGGCACTTAGATTTAGTCAGTCCTAACATTTGCAACCAGTAATAGAATAATAGAAGCTAATTTATCCTGGAAAACAAATGAAAACTCTTTAATTTACCATTGTAACTCTTAGGAGACTGTTGTTGCTATGTTTTGTTTTGTTTTTATTCTCTCTTTAAAACCATACTTTATGTATATCAGTACAATCTACATATGAAATGTAGTAAACATAGTAAATATGTTATTGCTGTTAAATAATTGAAACTATAAGATCTTTTATCATAAATAATTCTCAGTATAGTACAAATTTCACAAATTTTGTATAAATTCCAAGGAAACTAGTCTGGATTAATAAAAAAAATTGAATTATAAAGCAGTATTAAATACCTTTTATTTCCAGATTTATATTGAGTCACAAAATACTCCACAATATGTGTTTCAGGTTATCAGACTTTTAAATGTATAACAAATAATAATTTAACACCAACAATTGAAAACTGAATTTTTAATACCTTTAGTGTTTATGTTGTTTGTTAATGTAAATAATCAAAATAGTGTCAATTATTGTGTATTATGTCTCTTGTTCCTTTGTCCAAATACCTGACAAGAAGCAACTTAAGGAAGGAAGGACTTATTTTGACTTTAAGAATGGTTACAGTCCATAATGGCAGGAACAGCTTTGTCATATTATTTCTATAGTCAGCAGAGCAAGTACAGGAAGTAGAGGTGCATTATTAAACCTCATGGTGTGCCCCCAGTGACTTACTTCCTCCAACAAGGCTCCGCCTCTTTAAAGTTTCAAAGCCTTCTAAAATAGGGTCACCATTGTGGAACAAACTAGGTTCAGTATTTAGCTCACACAGAATGCTGAATTTTGTGATGGAACCTGTTCTAGTTTGTTTTCAACTGTCATGACAAAACACTGACCAATGCCAACTTGGGGAGGAAAGGGCTTATTCAACTTACATCTCCCAGGTCACAGTTCATGGCTGAGGGAGCCCAAGGTAGAAACTCAGGGCAGGATCCCAGAGGCAGAAGCTGAAGCACAGGCCATGGAGGAATGCTTCTTATGGGCTTGGCCCTCTAGCCCATGCTCAGCCTGCTTTCTTTTTAAAATGCAGAACAATCTGCCCAGGGGTGGCCCCTCCCCTCACTCAAAAATAAAGAAAATACCCCAGAGACATGGCCACCGGCCAGTCTAATGGAGGCAATTCTCCAGTTGAGACTCCCTCTCCCCAGGTGTGTCAGGTTGACAACTAAAGCTATCCAGCACAGAACCTACATGTGTATATTTAATGGTTTTTAAAAAATGGTTTGTGGGCCGGGCATGGTGGTGCGTGCCTTTAATCCCAGCACTCGGGAGGCAGAGGCAGGCAGATCTCTGTGAGTTTGAGGCCAGCCTGGTCTACATAGGGAGTTCCAGGTCAGCTGGAGATACAGAGAGACTGTCTCAAAAAGACCAAAAAAAAAAAAAAATTGTATTGAAAATAATGTGGGTCTATCTCATTAAAAGTGAAATTGTAATAGCAAGTTGAGAATTAACTTGTACTCAGGCCATCAACATTGGACCTTATCTTTGTATTTATTGGAAATGATATTTTATTTCAAAATTCCTCATGTCTTATGTGTTGCTATTTGGTGATTTGGTAAGTTGTGGTACATGACTTCTTTTTATTTACCATAGTGTCCAAGATTGATTTTTTTTTTTTTTTTTTTTTTTGCGTTTTGCGTTTTGGTCTTTTTGAGACAAGGTTTCCCTGTAGCCTCAGCTGGCCTGGAACTTGATGTGTAGACCAGGCTGGCCTGGATCTCACAGAGATCCAGCTGCCTCTGCCTCCTGAGTGCTGGAATTAAAGGTGTGTGCCACCACACCTTGCTCAAAGAATAATTCTTTATTCTGACAAGTTAGAATCAGTTGCAAGAACTTTAACTCACACAAATTTTTTTTTAGGAGGTAAGATAGGGTCTAATTAATTGTATAGTCTAATATTGACTATGTAGTCTGGAACTAAGCTGGCCTGGAACTCAGAGACACCTGCCTCTGCCTTTCCAGTGCTGGTATTAAAGGCCTGTGCCACTAGGCCCTACCTCACACCCCTAGATATTCTGATGTAATGTGTCTTAGATGGGACCGGAGGAACATAAGCACATGTACATTCTGCAGGCAATTCTTGTATTACAGCAAGGGAGCCAGGGCTAACAAATAATCTAGTGTTGGACTGGAGAGATGACTCAGTGGTTAAGACTGCATGTTGCTCTTACAGAATTCAATTCTCAGCACCCAGGTCAGGCAGCTCTGAGCTGCCTATAGCTTTAGTTTCAGAGGGATCCAATACTTCTGTCCATTGCAGGTACTGCACTCACATGCATTACTCCTTCCTGTACACATAATTTAATAAATACGTCTTTTTAAAAAAGAAATACTTTACTGTTTGGGGAGCCTTAGTATGATGATCCTGATTAGTAAAAAGTACACCCTTGGCCACACTGCTAACCTTAGAGGACCAGTTTAAATTCCACAAAACAGTATGTTGTACTTTTTTACTTTTAGATACCATTTTGAATTAATAGGAAGAAAAACAGTGGCTTCCAAGGGCTCCCATCATGTCAGATGTTCTTTAGTATTGGCAAGTATCAGCATCATTCAAATTAAAAATTTCTAATTTCTAAAATATATATACTAGGCAAGTGATATTTTTTCCTTTTTACAAATGTAGAAGCTATGGTTCACCCAAGTTTTAATAATTTACCTAAGACCATAAGCTACTTTAATGTTTTGAATTCTGGCTTTTCTTGAATATCTCTTGGTTAAATAAGTATATAAGTAAAATTCAGTAAGTATAAGCATTACTTATATTAGATTTTACAACATTACATCAAGAACATACATGGTCTTTAAATCCAAACTATAAAACTGTTTCAAGAATCTTTTTGAATTTTATTTCTTCTTTTCAGTGGTGTTGGTTCCTGTCCTGTGCATGCTGAGTACATGCTCTGCAGTTGACTTATGCCACCAATCTGTCTTTAACTTTCAATTATGAGTCCAAATAGTTCTGATAGAAATATGTTGTCTTGAATTAAATATTTATAATGTTATGTATTAAGCCTTATAAGTTTATGTACTTAATAAGTGAAGCCAGGATATTTGTATCAGGATGGGGGGGGTTCACTTTTGTTGTTTTTTAAAATTTTTTTATTTGATATGATTCTTTGGGTAATGAATAACTGATTCTCTGGAACTCTTAATTATAACTTTTCTTTAATTGGTTATTGTATGTTATTTTTAGCTCTCCCATGTAATCAGTGCTCAAAATTTTTATGCTTCTGGTTCAACTTTTTATATATACCAAACCTCAGAATGTTTCTCCTTCATCTTTTCTCTGGCAGCATAACTCTTAAAAAATCGTAATTAGGGGGCTGGAGAGATGGCTCAGCGGTTAAGAGCACTGACTGCTCTTGCAGAGGACCTGGGTTTGATTTCCGGCACCCACATGGCAGCTATGAACCATCCTTAACTCCATTTCCAGGGGAATCCAACATCCTCTTCTGACCTCCGCAACATTGCATGACACGGGTGCACTCACATATATGTAGGCAATACACTCATACACATAAAATAAAAATAAATTTTTTAAAAATCATAATTAGTTTCATAATAGAAATAAAGCCAGAAATATAAAATTTCATTTAGAAATGAATTTTCGAGGTTTGTAGTCAATTTATGAAAGCCTATTTGAAGTATGTACTAATAATGTACATGTGCTGCCTATTTGTGCTAATATGTAGATTATAAAAGGAGATATTTAAATATTTAATTTTATTTAAGTATAGAGTTTCTCAGAACTCAGATTGATGATGCCAATAAATAATATATGTATTTTTTTAAGGTACCAGTATTTTTTGCAAATTAAGCAAGACATTCTTACTGGAAGGTGAGCTATTTTTTAACTTTTATAGCATATTTTAAAAATATTTTAACTTCTATATTAGTAAATCCATGATCATTGTAAACAAATTTTTTAAAATGGTTATGTGTAGTCTTCATTCTTTTTATCAGATTAGGGGGAGGGAACTTCTTTTTTTTTTTGTTTGTTTTTTAAGACATGGTTTTACTAGGTAGCACAGGCTGACCTCAAACTGGCAGTAATCCTGTTTCATCTTCATGAGTGTTCAAGCCCAGCTTAAGTTTATTTCTTAATTGTTAAGTCAAATAGAAACTTGAGGTATCAATAGTGTAATATAAACTATGGCACTTTTGAAATTGTTTACCTTTGGGTTCCGTATTTTCTGTTTTGTTTTAGATTGCCCTGCCCTTATAATACTGCTGCCCTTTTAGCTTCATTTGCTGTTCAGTGTAAGTATTAGCCCACTTTTAGGTTAAATAACATATAATCTGGTAGTCTATTTAATACAGTGCCTTTAATGCATAAGTTTTTTAGACATGTTACAGTATAGGAAATCAAAACTACTCAGGAAATGCAATGAAATGTCCAATTAATTAGCAGTTACTTCGATTCTTGAAACTTTTCCTTTGTAATTGAGACCTAGACCTTGAAACATTTCCTTTGTAATTGAGACCTAGAATGTTAACTGTATTTTTGCAACTTGCTTAATATAGCAATATTAGAAATACATTTTACTTCCAGAAATATGTTGGAATTGATGATTTTGTTGATTTGACTATAATTGAAATGCTCATTAAAGCATGAACATTTCATTTTTCTTATTAGCTGAACTTGGAGACTACAATCAGTCAGAAAACTTGCGAGGCTACCTCTCAGATTACTCTTTCATTCCTAATCAACCTCAAGATTTTGAAAAAGAAATTGCAAAGTTACATCAGCAACATATGTAAGCGTTTACTTAGTTATCTGCTTATTTGATAAACTTACTGGAAACCTTTCTAGAAAGAGAAATGCTTTATATTATTCCTATTTTTTTGTATTTACTTAATATAGAACAGTTACTATTATATACGGTTATTGTAAAGAAATGTAAGTAGGTGATTTATACTAAAAGTATTTCATTGCTCATTTCATAAAATATGTTAGCCTTGTTTTCATTTCTGTTAGAGTATATGTAAGCAGAAATTTATTGACTATTATATAACACTGTTCTTTAAGAACAAATTTTCAAATGTTTTCATGATTTGCAGAGCTGTCCACTTATTGTCTTAGTTTTTAGGTATATAAAGGACATTGATTCTGTTTGGTAATGAATGAGGAGGAGAAAAGTAACTGTGTAATATTAAATTTTAAAAAATTTTTTAAAGTTGACTTGTTCTCATTCACAGTAGTACTCAATATTTTTTAGTCTAATCTTTTGTGATATATTTTTTCAAGAAGAATTTTTTTCAATAGAAATTATTATTTTTTTAATTGGTTCAGAATTCAGTTTTGCTTTGTCATTCAGGTCATTAAGAATAGTGACAGAAGGACTAAGACAGTGTCACATGCTGGCTTAAGTCTGCACTAGAGTCAGACTGCCTCGTTTGAACTTCTGGTTGGGTAATTTACTATATTATCACCTTGGTCAAATTCCTCTGTTTCTGCTGCCTTATTTCCTTATGTTTAATTTTGGGATAATATAAGTATCTTTAGCTATTCTAAATCTTTAAGTGAGATTTTTACATAAAGTTCTTATGATGGTACCTAGCACATGGCCGGCACTAAAGAAATATTAGCTCTTATTAAGAAAGCTTACTTTGATTTGGTAATAATCCAAGTGTCTAAAGGAAGTTGTCAAACCACAGCTCACTGCCTAATTTTTATGGTCAATGGGCAAAGAATGATAAATATATGTTCCTGTATGTAATATAATATGTATTTGTATTATAAATCTAATATACCTAAATGTTTTAAAGAATATATTTTCTAGTACCAGGAATCAAACCCATGACCTTGCTCATGTTAGGCAAGTATTCTATTGATGAGCCACACCCCTAACTGACAAACATATTTTATAAATGGTTGATTAAAACAAGGCAGATAGCATTTTGTGGCATGTGAAATTTCCTGAAATTCATTGTCCATACATGATCATAAACAGGGATGCCCTCATTTGTTTACTTATTGGCTGTGACTTGCTTCATAATGACAGAGTAACATAGTTTCTTACAGAGACCATTTGTCCTGAAGGCTTAGAAAAATTACTGATTAGCCCTTTCCAATAAAAGATTTCTAGATCTTGGGTCTAATGTAGACTACATTGACTTGAGAATTTAAAGAGTGTCTTCGGTGATGAGGATGCTATTTTCTTCTAAAAGTCAACCCTTTTATAATGAAAATTCAGCATATAGCATATCTGAATCAATTGTTTGAAGATAAATCAGAGTTTTAAAATTTGTCAATAATGAAATTTCTTATATAAACAAAGGGTTTATACAAGAACAAGCTATTAACTACTGATTTCCATTTGAAAAACTGACTTATCAGATCTGTAAACAAAAAGTAGAATTATCCAGTTTAATTAGGGAGGAGACTATGTACTTAACTAAATTTTAATAGAAAAGGATAATGATTCTGAGATTGTTAGTACTGTATATGAAATAAAGGAGATCATTTTTAAAAATTTTATGTATGAGCATATTGCCTACATGTATGTGAGTGCACCCATGTTATGCAGTGCTGCATAGGTCAGAAGAGGACTTCGGAGTCCCATGGAACTGGAGTTAAGGACGGTTTGTAGCCTTCGTATGGGTGCTGAGAATCGAACCTGGGTCCCCTGCAAGAGCAGTCAGTGTTCTTAACTGCTGAGCCATCTCTCCAGCCCCAGAGATCTATTTTTACAGACTATGTTTAGAGCAGTTATTTTGTAAGTTTTGTTCATAAGAATCACTTATTATGTTATTAAGAGGTACTTATTAAAATATAAACAGTTTGTACCTTGGCTTCTTTGTAGAATTGTGCTTCTAAAACCATCTGGAATGAAAGACCATTTCTCCCCCAATCTGTCACTATTATGTTATTTATGATATATTTTGAAATACATAGAAAAAATTAGTTGTTAGAAAAATAAAGTCGAGAAATCAAAGATATTCAAAGAATACAAGAATGCTCTAAAAGACTCTGGTGCTCATTTCCGTACATGTAAATCAACACCTGTTTGTGAGACCACTGCATATTTAAGCACCCTGCATGATTCAGTGTAGCTATAGTGTGTGAACCACATTCAGAGAACTAAAGTTAAGTGGCTTTGTTAACAGCCAGAATAGCTAGGGATTTGAAATTTTACTGCATTCTTGTATCCCTGGAAAATGAGAAAATAGTTTGAAAAACAACAATTTTGTTTACTGTTTGTATGCCCTCACTAAATAAGTTAGATGGTACTAAGAGGAGTACCTCTGTATGATATTTTGTAAAAGACTTTAGACTATTCATTTTCCATACCACCTTTTTCTAATTTGACAGTTTCTGCAATGGATCTAATGTTTGAAATGATGTTTTCTTTATAGAGGCTTATCTCCTGCAGAAGCAGAATTTAATTACCTAAACACAGCACGTACCTTAGAACTCTATGGAGTTGAATTCCACTATGCAAGGGTAAGTGAAGAAAATTTACTTCTGTTGAGTTAGACTTCAGTACTCAGTATCAAAGATTTTAAAATCTTTTTATGTGTGTACCATCCTGGAAGTTGAACCAGGGCCTTATATATGTTAAGCAAATACTCCTTGCACTTAATACTGAACCATACTGCCCCAACCCCTCAATTTAAATTCTGTGAAAGGACTAACAGACAGAATAATTTGTTTTTGCTGCTGACATAGTTGCACTGAAATTTTTTTCTGAATATAAATATTTTCACATTAGCATTAGGAGTCAATACCTAATACAAGTTCAGTTAAAATAAATTGTCTTGTTTCTCCCAGGTGGTGGTTTATTTTGCAAATATAATTTCTATAGACTGTTGGGGATAGTTGTTTTTGTTTATAAACAAAAGTTTGCTTTGGGAAAACTGCTTTTGTATAATTCTTTGATTATGTCAATATACAAGATGTCTTGTCACCAAGGCCTGCATTCCTATACTTTGTTTCCAACGGTTAGTGGTGTCATGGTAAATTCTAATTTGAAATACACAAAATGGAGAGTATCACCATGTCTTGTATGTGTCTGACTGCTATCTCATTATTTAAATGGAATTGTAATGACTGGCTTTTCTTGTATAACACAATGTGACTTTTCTTGTATGAAACATTTTTGCCTTTGAAAGACTGTTATCCTCTTACCTATATTTGTGAGTGGCTATTTCTCATATGTGGCTATATTCCTATCTGTAATTTCTTTATTAAGAAGTTATATTCCTTTAGAAGTAACTGCAATACAGCTATTCTTGAGCCTAATTAGGCTATTAGTTCAAAAGGGAGTAAGAGCATTATTTCCCTTGGGTAATTAGTTTGACCTTACTTCAGTACACAGACACACATTAGTACAGAGTCTGTTCTGTAAGTATTCTAAGTTCTGCTCGATAGTGGCTTTACATAGGGCCTCACCTGATGAGGTCCTGGGAGACAAGTTCTGATTGTTACATTTCACAAAGCATATATCAATCTCAGCTTTAAAAGATCTGATGACTTGCTTTCCTCAAATGATAGTATCTTAATTCTCTAAGTTTCTTTTGAACTGTTCTTCTTTTTTAAGAAAATGTTTCTTCACTCTCCTTCCCTATTTGGGGCTTGTTATTTTTAAGCATAAGTCTCTAATAACTTAGTATTTGTGGAACTAAATTTTATTTTTTATTACAGTAAAATTTAACTGGATGGAGCATTAAACTTGTGACTTAAATTATACTTAAAAAATGGCCAGCAAGGGGCTAGAGAAATGGCTCAGCAATTAAGAATATTGGCTGTGCCTGTACAGAACCTAGGTTCAGTTCCCAGCACGCGCGCACGCGCACACACACACACACACACACACACACACACACACACACACACACCAGCAGCAGCAGCAGCAGCAGCTAACAATAATCCATAACTCCAGGGGATCTGACTCCTTCTCCTGGCCTCCACTGGCATTGAACAGCATGAATGAATGCACTTACATACATGCAGGTGAAACACTCATACACATAAAATTTAAAAATTACCAGTGAAAGTAGTACTCTTAGTCCTTTGCAAAGTTTTTCTGATTTTTATATATTTGCAGAGATTCCTGTCAATTAAATACAAAGTACACTGGACTTCCCATTTAAATGCAAGGCAATATAAATTTCATATAATTAACCATATTGTTATTTATTGATTTAATTAAGGTAGTTTCTGTTTGTTTAAATTACTAGATTGCAAAATAATTTCTCAGATAGCCCTAAATGTAGAGTATCAGATTAAAGGAATTTAAATCTTAAACAGTTATTTACAAACTTTTTTTT